GCCGGCCCGGCCTCCCGCCCCTCCCCCGCCCCAGCCGGGGTGTGGGTGTGGTCCGAGCTTCCACGGTGACTTCCAGCTTTGCGTCCAGAGCCCGCGAACGTTCCGAAGCCCGCAGCAGGTCTCCCGGGACCCGGCCCCGCGCGCTACCCCATTTCCCCGCAGCCTGCCTTCCCCGAGAACGTTCTGACACCCTCGGGTAACGCCCTCGAGCTCTCGGCACTCTCTCGGGATCGCTCTTATCATCGCCCCCTGTTGCTAGCTGGCGAACAGCGGCGGGAAGCATGCGGGACTACGACGAGGTGACCGCCTTCCTGGGCGAGTGGGGGCCCTACCAGCGCCTCATCTTCTTCCTGCTCAGCGCCAGTATCATCCCCAATGGCTTCAATGGTATGTCAGTGGTGTTCCTTGCTGCGACCCCAGAGCACCGCTGCCGGGTGCCGGACACCGCGAACCTGAGCAGCGCGTGGCGCAACCACAGTATCCCGCTGCGGCTGCAGGACGGCCGCGAGGTGCCGCACAGCTGCCGGCGCTACCGGCTCGAGGCGATCGCCAACTTCTCGGCGCTCGGGCTGGAGCCGGGGCGCGACGTGGACCTGGAGCAGCTGGAGCAGGAGAGCTGTCTGGATGGCTGGGAGTTCAGCCAGGACGTCTACCTGTCCACCATCGTGACCGAGGTGGGTGTGTGAGAGACCCTTCATCTGCATCAGTCCCCCTCAAGATTCCCCACTCCCCATCAAACCTAGCTGGCCCGCCACTGGGTTGTGTTTCTAATGCAAGGGTGCAGCCCAAGAGAGCAGGACTCACAATAGGCTCATTCCTGATCTTTCTGTACAGTACGGAGAGGATGGAGAAGGGAGTGTTGTCACCAACTGTCTTTTCCTTTCAAAGTTTCACAACAGATGAAGTTGTTTCTCAAGAGCCTAGATGGTGCCCCTGGGGAGGCCGAGCCCCAAGCCTCCCAGATATACAGGCTGAGTCAAGTTCCTATCAGTCAGAAGGACCAATGTGGGGGCTGCTGCTGAGCCCAAGCGCAGACACTAATGGGCAGGACTGCCTGTTCCTGGCCACAGACTTCTGGAAATGTCAGGGGCCTACTGTTCTGCCATAAGCTTATGGTAAGGCTTGGGCTCCTGTCCTGAGGCTCCAATTCTCTGGAAAGAAGCAAAAGGCCTCCTGATGCTGGCTGGGTGCAGAAAACCAGAGAAGGCACACCCTGTCCCCAAGGCACTTATGAAGAGACAGACTCACTGAGATCCCTCTAAGCACAGGGCCCAGTGGCAGACAGGGGCTCCAGCTTATACCAGTAGCCCCTTAGCATCCTAAGTGATTTGATGGCAGGTTTTCCAAATTTCAAGAATCAGGATATGCACATACTTTGCCACCCTCTGCATTTCCTGCTTCGCTTGTGGTCAGGTCCAGGAGATGCTGGGTCAGGGCACACGCTTTCTTCTAAAGAGGATATCCTCACAGACTAGTGTCCTGCTGTTGGCCAGGCAGGTAGGATTCCCCAGCTTCTGGCTCCTCCTCTGCTCTATGTTCCTCCCAAGGAAAACCCGAGGGTGTCTGTCATCTGCTAGTCCTTTATCCTCTTCCCTCAGCACAATGTAACAATCATCAGACAGCATGGCTGGCATCATGCTGGTCACTAAGCTGTAGACCTCTCAAAGCACAGATGCCTATGGGGCATACTGACCATGTTACAGGGAAGGCCAACATCAACCCTGGTTGATAACAGGGTCCTGGAGCTTGAATTCAAATCCTGATTGGTTTGCTGTGTGACCTGAGGCAAATATATTACAGGGTGGGTATAACAGGGTGAGGAAAATTCCAAGATGGGGTGATAAATTTGAGCTACGTCTGGAAATATGAGCAGGCAAAGGACATGGCAGATTCTGGGAATGGAATTCCATAGATCAGGATGGCTGGAGCTCAGGGAAGGCAGGTGAGGCTAGAAATGCCTACAAAGGCCAGAGGGCCTTGTAGGAATGTGGAGGAGTCAACTTTATTCTGAGGACAATGAGGAAATAGTAAGAGTTCTAAACAAGGGGTAACATGGCCAGATCTGTGTTTTTAGAAAGAGCTCACTCTAGCTGCTATGAAAAGCAAGCAGATAAATGAGGAAGCTGTGGGATTTGCTTCAGGAAGTGCTGGTGACTAGCCAGGAGTGATGACTGCAGAATCTACAGGACCTGTGGAAAGTGGGCTCAGCCTCTGGACCACCTCTAGATCCAGCTGGCATTGGTGCCATGCCTTCCTTGAGCCCTGAGGTAGCCATGCTTCTTTGAATTTGATCACCTAGCAGGGCCTCATAGTGCTTGCCCACTCCCACCCCACACACAGCCTGGCCCAAGGGCATTTAAGACTGGGGGCCAGCTCATTCCTCCTCAGTTCCTGGAAGTGTCATCAGCAGCTAAGCCAGAGCTGGCCCTGCTGGCTGCAGCCCTCTCTGACAGCTGCGTTGACCTGTCTCTTTCCCCTTCCTTGCTGGTTTTGTTCACCTCATAGTGTGAAGGGTGGATAGCTGCTGGCCTCCAAGTCTGTACCTACCCCCTTTGTGCCCTGCTCACAGGGAGGGGTCTGTGGGCACCTCTGGGATGCCCATCATCACGCACTCACATGTACACGCCAGAATTTGCTTTTTTCAGCAGCCTTTCCCTTCTTTGCTTCATTTTCAAATGGTGGAAGTAAAGTAAAAAGCAAAGGGTACTGGTGGTTGGAAGGAAGGAGAAAGTAGCCCTAGGGTGACTAGGATAGGGGTGGCTCTCCCCAGAGAGGTGGCACAAGGCAGAGTTCTGGAATCTGACTGAAGGGTCAGTTTGCTTCCATCACTGACCACCTGTCTGACTTCAGCAGGTTACATCACTGCTCAAAGTCTCAGTTTCCTTATCTTTAAAAGGGGATAAAAGTGTATGAAAAGATGCTCAACATCACTAATCATTAGGGAAACACAAACACAAATCAAAACCATAATGAGATATCACATCACACACATTAGGATGGCTATTATTTAAAAAGAAAGAAACAAACAAAAAACAGAAAATAACAAGTGTTGGCAAAGATGTGGAGAAATTGGAATCTTTGTGCATCATTAGTAGGAATGTAAAATGGTGCAGCCACTATGAGAAACAGTATAGCAGTTCCCCAAAATATTAAAAATAGAATTATCACATGATCCAGCAATTCAACTTCTTGGTATATATACGAAAGAATTGAAAGCAAGGTCTAGAGGAGATATTTGTACACCCACAGCAGCATCATTCACAGTAGCCAAAAGGTGGAAGCAACCCAAGTGTCCATCAACAGATGACTGGTTAAATGAAATGTGGCATATATGTACAATGAATGCATGTACATGGATATACAGTAGTTTCCTTCCTCGGGGGCTGATTTATTCATCCTGTGCAGTTACTAAGAATTGCTTTTTTTTTTTTTTTCTTTGGATCTTTTTTTTTTTTGTTGTTATAGAGTTGTATGAGTTCTTTGAAGAATTGCTTTTTTTTTTTTTTTCTTTGGATCTTTTTTTTTTTTGTTGTTATAGAGTTGTATGAGTTCTTTGAAGAATTGCTTTTTTTTTTTTTTTCTTTGGATCTTTTTTTTTTTTGTTGTTATAGAGTTGTATGAGTTCTTTGAAGAATTGCTTTTTTTTTTTTTTTCTTTTTAGGTTTATATTCCACATATAAGTGATATCATGTGATTTTCAACTTTTTCTGTCTGGCTTATTTTGCTTAGCATGGATATCTCAAGGTCCATCTATGTTGTCACAAATGTCAGTATTTCATCTCCTCTTATGGCTGAGTAATATTCCATTGTATATATGTACCACAGCTTCTTTAGCCAATTATCTATTGTAGGACACTTCAGTTGCTTCTATGTCCTGACCACTGTGAATAATGTTGCTCTGAACATCGATGTGCGAATATCTTTTTGGATATGGGTTTTCAAGTCTTTGGGGTACATGCCCAGTAGAGGGATTGCTGGATCATATGGTAGATCAATTCTCAGTTTTTTGAGGAACCTCCATACTGTTTTCCATAGTGTCTGTACCAATTTGCAGTCCCACCAGCAGCGTATGAGGGTTCCTATTTTTCCACATCCTCTCCAACATTTGTTATTACTTGTCCTGTTGATTATAGCTATTCTAACAGGTGTGAGATGGTATCACATTGTGGTTTTGATTTGCATTTCCCTCATAGCTAGCGATGTTGATCATCTTCTCACATATTAGTTGGCCATTTGTATGTCCTCTAGGGAGAAGTGTCTGTTCGGGTCCACTTCTCATTTTTTCATTGGATCATTTGTTTTTTTGTTGTTATTGAGTTGTATGAGTTCTTTGAAGAATTGCTTTTTTAACTTTATTTTGAAATAACTTTTGATTTAGAGAAAAGTCATGAAAATAGCACAGAGAATTCGCATATACCCAGCTTTCCTTAATGTCCATACTTTATATGACCATAATTTATTTATTAAAACCAGGAAATTAATATTGGTTACAATATTCTTAACTAAAACTTCAGACCTCGTTCAGATTTCACCAGTTTTTCCACTAATGTTTCTTTCCGTTGTAGGATCCTATCCAGGACTTCACATTATATTTGGTTGTCATGTCTCCTTAGTCTCTCATCTGTGATAGTTCCCCAGTCTTTCCTTATCGTTCATGACCTTGACACTTTTCATAAGTCTATCAGTTTATTCTGATGAGTCTTCTACAAATTGGGTTTGTGTGATTTCTCTAATGATAAGATTGAGTTTGTGAGCTTTTTGGTAAGAATACCATGGAAGTGATGTGTCCTCGGGGCATTGCACCAGCAGGTACATGATGTCATTATGGCTTATTACTGGCAGTGTTTACTTTGCTCTCTTGGTTAAGTTGGTATCTGCTGGGTTCCTACACTGTAAAGTTACCATTTTTTCCCTTTATAATTAAAAAGTATCTTGGAAGAGATACTTCGAGACTCTACAAATATCCAATTTCTCCACAAACTTTTACCCACTTGATATTATAGTATCCATCGCGGGACCTTAACTGAAACAACTATTTCTGTGGCGTTTGCCTAGTGGTGATTTGCATCTGCCACATTCCTTCCAATCTATCAACTGGAATTCTACAAAGAAGAACTTCCTCTTCACTCCCACTTATTTATTCATGCAATTATTACTTTATGTCAGTACAGACTCACGCATATTTATTTTGTTCCATGAGTTATAATCTAATACTATCCTATTTATTTTGTTGCTTCTGTTGTGCCAGCTTGAACCAAGTTATTTTTCTCTTTAAGAGTAAAGAATGTGAAAGTCAGGATAAGGTTCTTTATCTCTCTCTGGAGTCAGAGTTAGAGGAGCCCGTGTTTGGCTCTGGAGTAGCAATGCAGGAACAGAAGCAGAAACAGATAGATTTGGCCCAACAGGGACCCCAAGTGTCCTCAAAAGGTGTGATGATGGAGTCCTTATCACTAAAACCTACTGCAGTTGTGAGACCAGTCTCTCCGGGCACAGCCCTCCATATAGCCCTCAGTGTCATGGACCCCATAAAGCTCAATGTGTGAGGAAGCTCAGAGGCCCCTTGCCTTGAGGCCGAAGGAGTTCTCCAGGGGCCGAGATCCATCAACAGGGCCACAGGCTGAACAATGGGGGTGAGCTTAGCTTCAAGCCAGGGCCTAAGCATGGGCTGGCCTCC